CATTTACCTACAACGTGGAAGCCCTTATGTAGTACAGCAACTGTATGGTGTTAGCCAATCTAATTAATCTTTTTTAATATACATTCTGTCAGTTGGTTTTCTTTCCCTAGAGAACCATGAACAATAAAGCCTGACTTAGTCTGGCGGGGATGTGTGGGTGTGAGGATGTCAGTAAGGAGTTTACAAAGGAACTTGTATCATTTACTTGTTTATCTTGAGGTACTAGAGATCAAACCTTGGGGCATACCTGCTAAGCAAGCATTCTATCACTGAATTATATGCCCCAACCCAGAAATTAAGTCATTAATTTGAATTACACATTAAGAATGGATATTAGCTGGGCGGTGGCACACGTCTTTAATCCCAGCACTCAGGAGGCAGAGGCAGGTGAATCTCTGTGAGTTCAAGGCCAGCCTGGTCTACAGACTGAGTTCCAGGACAGGCTCCAAAAGCTATACAGAGAAACCCTGTCTTGAAAAACCAAAACCAAAACCAAAAAGAATCGCTATTAAAGAGCCTAGGGTAGTGACTTAATCTTTGAAGTGTCAGAAAAGAATTTTTAAAAGTCCTGATGTAGGAGGAGGGAAAAACCATGGTTTGTTGGATGGGTAGGGAGGAGGCTTCAGAAGCAGGAAGAGCTCTTCTCTGCCATGTCCCAGTTTCTCCCTTCACACCAAATCTCTGAGTGTATCAGGCCATTTGAAATGGGGGTGGTGTCTAGCAGCATATATGATCACAGCAAGATCCTTGTTTCACAGTTCTCAGATGGTTGAGTGGGAAAGCCTGCATGCGCATGTGCATGACAGGGTGGGGGGTGTTCTCTCACTGATGGTGGGACAGAGATGGCTGTTGAGTATGCATGGAAGTATGCATGCTGGGTATGCATGGAAGTATGCATGCTGGGTATGCATGGAAGTATGCATGCTGGGTATGCAGAGAATGAAGAGGAGAGTGGTCTGGGGAGCTTCTGGGTGTGTTCTTTAAAAATACATATAAGGGTGTGTGTGTGTGTGTGTGTGTGTGTGTGTGTGTGTGTGTGTGTG